CACTTTACGCACACTCGACAACTTTTTGGCACTTTTTGATGAATGATGAAAACATGTACAAGTACATATATCTAAAATTATAAACATATATCTAAAATTTTTATTTTCAACATATATAATACGATGTTTTGAAAACTATACACAGTGACAGCACATACACAATTTTTAATAATAGTGAAGGTAACTTCAAGAAAAGGAAAAAAATGACAAATAGTAAAGTGACACTTGCGTATCTTTAGCATATTGGATAGGTAAATGTAAAATTGTGGGCATTTCTACAATGCACGTATTATTTTTATATTCTTGCAACATTTTGCTGCAGAGTACCACGTCTATTTCGCATATAACACAGTTTTTAATTCCATCTGATTCATTCACTTTCAAGTATACAAATCAATCACTAATGAATGTATGGGGATAAAACATTGTATGTATGAAAAGTGTCTTGGAGGTGTGTCACTTTACACCCAAAAATGTCCACATCGGACCGAAACTGTTCAAGTCCTCAGATACCGAATATGTAAACCCCAGTCCCTATTGAGAACTTTTTACCAAAATAATCAGTCAATCTGTGTGATATTTTATCGCACTTCGGAGAGAATCGTTTTCTGATAATAGTAAGCCTGTATGTCAGAAACGGGTTGAATTGGATCAGATTCTCTTAGCCTCATATACCTAATACAAAGGTCGGGAACAAGTCTTCGGGCCTTACAGGAAACAGGAGTAGTAGATATGTTGTGCTGCGTCGTACGTTTCGTTGGCTGACAGATTCCTTCCGGCTTTGTCAGATTAGGGAACTCCACTATAGTATCTGCCCATATAGGGTCGACGGGCAGTACTTTAATTTCCGAAATGATGTTGGATGCTGATAATTTACATGCGACTTTTAGTCCAGTGATCGAGTCGATAAGGCAGTTGTTCTCTAGGTCGGGTAAGATGCCGAAATGTGCTAAAAAATCTGCGCCAATAATAGGTTTCGTTATGTCCGCCACTACGAAGCGCCATGTAAAATTTTGTCTGAGGCCAAAGTTTAGTGATAGAGTTATGAAACCGTACGTGTTTATCGTAGACCCATTTGCTGCTGTGAGATTATAGTTGATTTGTTCCGGCGACCAAGGTGCGAGAGACTTGGGAAACGTGCAGAGATCAGCGCCAGTATCCACCAAAAATTGGATTTTGGTGGCACGATCTGTTACGAAGAGGCGGTTTGATTCGAGTGAGGAGCCGTTAACTGCCACTAACGGTCCGACGGTAGGTTTCCCTGAAATGTGCAAGGCGACCGGCAACGTTTCGCTTTATTGCCGAAATTTTGATGATACCAGCACGTGTCGTTGTTCGGTGCTGGAGAAGATGTGCGCGAACGAAAGCGATGACGAACGGGAACGAGATATGACTTGTCTCTTAAAGCTGGAAGCTAGCTCATTAATTGAAGCTTCGAGACAAGAAATGCATGATTCGACTGCTGGTGTTGCTGCTGGTTCTTGGACCGAATTTATTTGTGCTGCTGGTAATGCGATATCGTGTATTTTGTCTGCAAGAGATGCGAGTTTATCGATATTCATGTCTGCTTGGGACGCAAGTATAGATTGGGTTGTCATCGGAAGTCTGCTGAGCCACTTAGTTCGTAGAATATTGTCGGGAACAGTGTTGTCAAGGCTTCTGAGATGTCGGAGAAATTGCGATGGTTTTCTATCACCCAAGGTCTCTCGACCGAGAAGCTGCTGTAGTCGTGCTTCTCGAGAAAGCGTAAGGCGTTCGACCAGTGTCCCTTTTAAGCGAGTGTAAGGCGTTTCTGTGGGAACATTCAAAAGAAGATCTATCTGGCATAGCGATTTTTGCTGAAGAAAATGAAATGATTGGAACATTTTATGTGCTGCGCTCAAAGCTGTGAAGATTAGGAATGCGCCAAAAATTCCAGCTGTCCTCCAATCGGTCGTATGCGTGGGCAGCCACGTGCGCGATTATGCACAAAAACCAATACACAAAGTGCACTATAATCGCAAATTTATGCACAAGTGTTGAAACTTGTAAACGAAATGCACTGTAGACGAATTAGTTAGCGAATTTTAAAATTATATTTACAAAATCGCGGAAAAACTATTAAATCACGTCGGGGTCACCAGTTGTGGTGATTGATGTGCAGGAACGATGCGCACGCGGTGGCTGCCAGCAGGAGAAGAGGCCGTTAACCGTGTTGTATAGTCTTTTATAATAACAGCAGGCGTCCTCGAGCCTAACTGTTGACTATGTATTCGCTGTTCCGTTTTGTGTCGTATTCGTTTCAGCGTTCCTTGCAAGCCAGGATCAGCTGACTTACTGACATGGTGTTGCCATGTTATATTGTCGTATATAATATTATATTATATTGTGGCTCATCCCACAAAAAATTTAATTTTTAAAAATTCTGACTACCCCTAACTTCTTAAGAAGATAAAAATGCATCAAAAGTGTAAATCAGAGAAATACCACCACCACCATAAAGATGATAATCGCGGTATAGTATTCGTGTACATACTATGTATTTAGTTTTTTTTTTGTTAATAATCTTTGATATTTATTTAAGGGATTCAATGCGAGCGGAACCACGGTAAGGCTAGTGTTTAATAAATTCGTTTATTTTAACTTTCTTCTTAAATTGAACTTTAAAGCCTTGATTAAAAATTAAATTCAAATTTGCCTAGTAAATAGTGTTGAGGATTGGAGGAAATAAAACCATGATTCAAATTACTAACTATTTATTTCTTTGGTAGGCTACAAGTACCGTCCAATTCATTTGACAGACAGCTAAGAATAATCTTATGCTTAAGTAACGGTTATATAGAAAAATAGTATGTAAAAGAACCGAATAACTAAACTTATTATTAATCATTAACAAATAATAATTTCTTTAGATTTTCATTTCAAAATCAAAATTTTATAATTAAATTCTATTTATTTAATTCTTACTATAAAATTACTTTTACACTTGAGCCGTTTTTATTTAATTATTTTTTTTTTGGTTTTATTTTTTATTCATAGTCTCTAACTTACATTAATGCTACAATTATCCTCTGCTTCTCCATCTGGAGTTGTCCTATTTAACTTTCCTTAGTATACTGGGGATCTTTCAGGTTTCTATGGGGAAGACGTCTGCGAATTTGTACCAAAGATGCTGTTTTTTGGAATATATAAGTTTTATTGTTCATTTATTGCATTTTACAAATCAGCGGACGTGTTCACTTAAATGTACATTTCGACGCATCTTTAAAATAACAACAACATCAATTCATACTCTCCTCTCCTCTGCAGGCGTCGTTGTCCACAAACTGTTTCCTCCCGACGACGACAAAAAGCTTAAACTTATTTTTATTCTAAAGCTGTAGTCAATGCGATGTGAATGTGAAAAAGTGCAAGCAGCTTCACAAAAATCATAAAATCGTCGGTTTTCATATTTGTCTAAATAACTTTTGAGCATATCTACCAATAAAAAAATAAGATATGTATGTGCTTACCACCCGCTTTACATTAGATTTTGGAATTGCGTCAAAGATGTCCATTTAAAAGAAATAACAATATCAATATCCTGAGAAACTTTGTTGGGAAAAACGTAGTGCTGAAGATGGCCTCCGACAACAAAGGGCAGATGCGAAATAAAATAATTTAATTATTAAAATAAAAACATTTGGGTCGGCTTTAGTATACTATCCCACGATTTCAGGGTTAAAAAGGGCATGGTTGGATAGAGGAGATTCTCCAGATTAAGAATATATAGCCGCCGGAAACTTATATTATTCAAGATATTCTCATTTCAAATTGAAATGAGTGTTGCCATATCTACATATTTTGCAAACGAATTAAAATGAATAATAAAAAGAGGATTATACCCCAAATACATGAACCATAATCCTTTCTTTGTTGTTTAACAAGTAAAATGTTTATTTAAAGCAAATATTAAAATACTTGATTTAAATTAAATATGTAGAAACAATTTAGTGAAGTGCTAGTGAATAATAAGTGCATAATATGATGATAAATGAGCTGTAAATCGATAAATTTCAAGATAAAATTTGTAAAATTTTCAACTTAAAATGAGAATATCTCGAAAACTATAAGCGACTATAATTATATCTGGAGAATCTCCTCTATCCTATCATACAAATTTTAACCGTTAAATCGTGGGATGGTATACTAAAGTTTCCCCAAAATTTTAATCCCAAAAACCGGATTAGTCCCAAACATCTTGGGTTAAAATATGAAAATTTAATTTTTGTTCGCAACATCGCGGTTAAAAATGAAAATCTAGTTTTTGATCCCAACATCGGGATTAGTTTTAATTTGCAATATGTTGTAATGGATGATTGTAAATAATAAGGTTTTATAGTATAATTAGGGAATATACACACCTATTTTACATAAACTAAATTTTTGTACTCTCGCAACAGAGTATAATAGTTTTGTTCACCTAACGATTGTTTCTATGTAACTGAAACTAATTGGGATATATATAGGGTTAAGGTTATATAGGTATATATATAGTATGTTTATATTAACTCACTAAATAAATACGTCAGTAGCGCCTGTCCGCTCTAATTATTAAAATTCAAAATTAAAAAAAAAAAAAAAACAATATTAAATAAAGGGTTTTGGTAGGTTGGTAGGTAGGAGTGCAGACCCACTCAGCTCAATTAGAGCTAGACGCGCCAATTTGATTCGACGTTGTGTTCAAATTATTTGGTGCCTTCAATGAAACTACATACATATCTCCGCTAAGCTTTTTGTAGATAGACATTCTAGGGTTAGTACCTGATGGATGCCAAGAGTCCGATGTCCCAGATGAAGTGTTGAACGGTTTTTTACTCTTTTTTGGATTTTGATGATTTGACATAACTCTTATTTTTAAATGCTTATGCCAGACGTTTGAAATTCAACTTTTTATCAACCAAAATTAGTTTGTGTGCTGTTTCATTTCAATTTAAAGTAATTCGCATGAAACAGAAAATAATTCAAAAATCATTCAAAAGTCTGTTTTATTAAAGTCTGTATTTACAACTTCAAAACTTTTGAGTTTCACAGTATTATTTTGTTTTTTGGAAATTCAACAAGTATATCATTTGTTGAACAATATTTATACAAAAGTTATTTTACATATAGTTATATTTGCTACTTAATCAAAAATGTTCTAGTGAACTATAATTACAACAGCAAACAATTTTGAAGACGCCATTGAAAGCATTCAATATACAACTTGATGTTTAGATATAACAGTTGGCAAAGATTTCTCAGTATGCACATCTACCTTATAGCTTTTCAAAATTTGGAATATTTAACAGGATTTCAGAAAACCTAAGATACGACAAATATCTTAAGAAAACGTTTACAAAGGTATTACCGTTTCTTCTTAAACATTTTATTAAGTTTCCGCCGTTTCAAAATCATTTCATATAGAACTTCAAAACCTTCTTGCAAACCTTCTCCAGTTATGGCACAGGCTGGTTGAATATACCAACCTTTAAATTGGTGTGATGGTGCTGAATAGCTGATTGATTTGTTCATTGCTTTTGGCGGGAATAGGGTATTAACAGCTGTAGCAGTAGGAGTTGTCACTACTGAAGGTGGTGAGGATCCACATGACAACAAATGTTTATCGCGAGCTGTCGACAAAAATGATGTGTATATATTACTAGTATTACTAATTCCATCGCTAATTTCATATTCTTGTTCAGTTCTCATTACTCCAACTGCTGCTACTGATGACGATTCACAGAGTTGGTTACTGTTTCCACCACTGTTACTAAACATTTTATTGTGCTGCGATGTGGGTGTCATACTTTTACCAAATGTATTCATACTACTTATACTGCTGCTGCACACAATATTACCAGTTGATGATGAGCTCGGTCTTGTTTGCGTATAGATAGCTGGATATAATAGTTCATGCAGCCCTAATAATTTTTCTAATTCCTTAGGACTACGAGCGCCAGGTAAATCTTGTTTGTTAGCTAATATGAGAACAGGAACCCCCTAAATATAATAATTAGGAGCTTTTCTATCCAAAGTTATGTTAGACTTTACCTGATTGTCAGGGCACTTTGCGGTTCTCATAAGCTCCATTTTAGCTTCCTCCATCCGCTCAACATCAACTGAATCGACTACAAAGAGAATGCCATCAGTACATCTGAAATGAGCAATAATACATATATAGTTATATCTTCGGTCATATTTGAGAAAAAGAGATAGCTTGTATATAGCTTGTTTATCAACGAAAAGTACTGCCAAATGTTTATACGCAGGTTGTTTTTTATATCTTGGGATTTGGCAACCCTACTGTTGCAATCTGGCAACTCACAACTTCATCGTAAAGTTTGACATTTTTGATCATAGATAAAATGATCCGAACTCCTCTCTTTGCCTTTCGAGAGAGCTCATGAACTTTCAGTGTTGCCAAGAAAACCACGAGCTTATGAGACTGAACAGATGACAACCAAAACAATGAACTACCACTAAGAATCCCGCAGAAATAAATTGCGAAATCAGTGGGTAATTTGTGAGATCAGATTTTTTGTTAACTTTTACGTATATTTGTAATCTTTATTTAAAAAGTTTTAATATAGTTTTGCTTTTAAGAAAGAGCGGGTATTTTCTCGCAAAGTATTGTTTTGCTTAGCAGTACCAATTGTCAACGTATATACTTATTTTGGTTAGAATTCCCAGCAAATGTTATGTAAACTTTGACTTCCGAATAAATTATCAAGAGATATTTGTTTATTGAGTATATAAAAAGGAAATAAGGATCATGTTAAGCTTATTTAAAACTTGTAAGTGTTTTGAAATATTAAAATATTTTGTTAAATTTAGTTTAAAAAGTAAATTTTGAAAATCTTTTGTGATCAAAATATACACGTACATATATTTAGACATCATATAGGATATCTAGCTTGTTAAACTAATTTTATTTAAGTATATTTTTCTGTAGAATGGAAACCGAAAAATACCCAAGAAATACATTAAAAAATCTCAAAACGTATTTCTTTCCACAGTGGCACCACTGTCAAATGTTATAAAAAATGTGGACTTTTACAGCGCTCTCTCGATTCAAAGAGTTTCGGATCATATTATCCATGTTTTTGATGTTACATTTGGCGATGAAGCTCCACCAAAGCCAAGTGTTTATGTATGGTATGGTGAGTTTAATAGACGTCGTAGATCACTGCAAGGAGAATTTCGTGAATTTGTTGTTGTTCCGGAAACTATTGATGCTGTGCGCAAACTGACATTCTAAGATCGTGAGATTGATATTAGTGCGACCAGCATATATGTTATACATTCAATATTGTATGAAATTTCAACTGTAAAATAAATTTCTTCACGTTGGATCCCACACAATTTGTAAGTTGCTGTAAAAACGACTCGTGTCAATTGGTCAAGAGAAATGTAAAAAACAAAAAAATACGATAGCGGTGCTTTGAAACTCGTCTATAACATCGTGACAGGTGATGAATCGTGGATTTACGCATACGAGCCCGAGAGTAAACAGCAGTCGACTGTATGGGTGTTTCCAGACGAGCCGGTACACAACCATTTGTTTGCCAGTTGTCTTTCAAGAAATTATAACCAACCTCCGAGGATAGATCACTCTTCATCTCAAACTGAATTTTTGAGCACTCAAAACATCGATTTGATGAGTCATCCACCGTATAGTCCTAACTTGGCACCAAATGCCTTCTTTTTATTCCCAATGCATCTTTAGGAGATACATCAATCAAACGCATGCAATAAGGTGTAGTTCTTAATGGAGAATGTTTTGAAAAACAATAAAGCGATTTTCGATAGTAATAATATTAATTTTTGTTCTCTAATCTCGAAATGAAAAAGGAAACCCTCGTAATTGAGTAATATTATTAAGAATCTGATTCCCTTATTATTCATTAAGCTATTGAACCTGTGATTCAATAATGTGCAATCTGCTCAACAGGAGACGTAATTCGAGTTTGCCTTTATAGAGCAGCTTTATAGTTTGTGAAAGTCTTCGAAATCAATAATGATAGAATAACATACAAGATTGCGAAAAGTATTTACCGTATTTAGGCAGTACAATTGTTAAATAAACAAATTGCACTGGCTTGTGTCGTATTTTGGGAATGAAAATAAGAAGCATAGAATAGCATGTAAATTCTAAACAACAACTCAAATACTTTTGTTAATTCGTGAAATAAACTTAAGTTGTCTCCAATGCGCCTAGCGATGTAGAGTAGCAAATCGAACACCTTATACCAACTGCTCAAACAGACTGGCAGCACTAAAAAGGATAAGTAATATATGCATGGTCGCACTGAGCTAGTTGATAGTTCAGAATAAAAAAAAACACTTAAAAATGAAAGCAAGTGAAAAGCGCTGTAATATTTAAAATTGGAATGGAAAACAACGATAATTTAAACTTGGTACGCAAGTATTTGTATTTATAAGTGTTATATTTGTTTCTTTGCAGGTTTTTCAATACTTACAAAATGAGGAAGAGCTAATGATGGGGAGTGCCGGCATACAAGCATTTTTAGATGATAAGCAATCTAGCTCCAGCTCGGAATCATCATCAAGCACTGAGGAATCGGAGCGGGAGGAACCGGGCAAATGCCAGAACTTTTGCGAAGTGATTGAGGGCTATAACGAAAGCTAATTTAAATCGCATATGAGATTGCGGCGTTCAACCGTTAAATTTTTAATTGGTATGAAGGGACACATACGAGGTGTGTTCAAAGGAAAAGGAGAATTTTGATTTTTAGCGGGCTGTGTCCATTCGATTACCGATTTTTCGTTTTTGCTATAATTGGATTCATATGTTTATCATGTGCTTGCATTAGGAGCCAATTTCTATTAGTAGTTTGGTTTTGATAACAGAAAAGATTAGTCGTGTTTTTGCGTGCTCTTAAATTTTTAACTTTTGAAAGAAATGAATATAAAACAAGAAAAAACGTAAGCTTCGGTTGCACCGAAGCTATAATACCCTTCACAAATACAAAGGCCCCTTACAAGAAGTTGATTCCAAACTTTCAATTTTTATGGTAGCTATATGATATAGTGATCTGATCTGACCAATTTCTGCGGAGAATAATTTGTTGCCTTAAGCGATAACTCGTGCCTAATTTCGTGAAGATACCTCGTCAAATAAACAAATCTTCCATGCAAGCACTTTACTCCGATCGTTCAGTTAATATGACAGCTATATACTATAGTCATCCGATCTATACAATTTCTTTGGCGATTAGATTATTGCCTTAAATAATAATCCATGCCGAATTTCGTGAAGATACCTCGTCAAATGAAAGAGTTTTCCATTCAAGCACTTGCTATATGCTATAGTGGTCCGATATCGGCCGTTCCGACAAATGAGCAGCTTCTTTGTGAGAAAATGACAGGTGCAAAATTTAGATCGATAGCTTAAAAACTGAGGAACTGGTTTGTATATATACAGACAGACGGACATGGCTAAATCAGCTCAGCTCATCATGCTGATCATTTATGTATATATTTTATAGGGTCTCCGACGTTTCCTTCTGGGTGTTACAAACTTCGTGGCAAACTTAATATACCCTGTTCAGGGTATAAATATATATGAAATTTTGCGATAAAAAGTGTATATAAGTCTTTATAAGGTACAAGCGCTTTACACAATTGATGAGAAGAAGTCTAAATCGAAGAAAGAGGTGATGGCCATACCGAAAAGCGTATTTCAGAAGTGCTTCGACGATTGGAAAAAGCATTAGCACAAGTGTATTATATTCGAGGGGGATTACTTTGAAAGGGACAACAAAAAAAAAGATAGTGATGAATAAATAAGTACTTTAAATTCTTTAAAAAAAAATTCAAAATTCACCTTTTCCTTTGAACACACCTCGTATGTATATTTCAATATTGTTGATTATAAAATGTTATTTGCAAACATTACTTTCAGAGAAATATGCAAATAACGTTGTGCCCACAAAAAATTCTGGTGGAAAAGCACTTGTACCACCAAGAAAAAATGTGTATACAAGGTGCGTTCCAAACTAAACAGGACTTTTAAAAAAAAGACAGAACAAATGGTTTTATCGGCACAATCATTTAATTTTATTCAAATAGTCTCCTTCTGCTTTAATACAGCTTTTTGCACGGTCCAAAAGCATGTCGAACGAGTGTTTTAGCTCGTTGCCCGGTATGGCCGCCAGTATGCCGGTGCAAGCCTTTTGAACGGCCTCCACGTCTGCATAACGCTTTCCTTTCATCGGTAAATGCATTTTTCCGAAAAGGTAGAAGTCGCACCGTGCCATATCAGGTAAATACGGGGAGTGGTTGATTGTTAAAATGTGATTTTTGGTCAAATAATCGGCCACAAGCGTCGATCTATGAGACGGCGCATTATCGTGCAACAAACGCCAACTTCCATCTTCGCGATATTCGGGCCGTACACGTCGAATACGGCGCACCAAACGCTTGAAAACTCCAAGGTAGAATACCGCATTAACGTTTTGGCTGGATGGAACGAATTCTTTGTGGACAATATCCTCGGAATCATAATAACAAATCAGCATTGTCTTCACTTTTGACTTCTCCAGGCGCGATTTTTTGGGTTTCGGCTCATCGTCATTTATGTCCTCACGACCACTTTGAAAACGTTGAAACCACTCATGCACTCTGCTACGGGATAGGCAATCATCGCCATAAACTTTTTTCATCAATCGAAACGTTTCAGTAAAAGTTTTACCAATTTTAAAACAAAATTTAATGTTGGCTCTTTGTTCGAAGCTCTATTTCGCACCGATGACAAAAACATACTGACACTTAAAACACAATAACTTTACTTTCAATAGATGAAATGTCATAAAATTTTTACTAGAAGTCGATAAAGGATAACAGATTCTAACGCACTAGTCTACATATAGATGGCGCCACTAGAGTTTACTTTGTTACTTTTGTACTGTTTGCTTTGGAATACACCTTGTATTTATACCTATATGGTGTGTCTTCGTCAACTGCTTGGACTATAGTCGACGATGCATCCAGTTGGCTTATAACTATTGTCCATGAGTACATTAAATGGCCACAAGGGGCAGGCGCAGTTGCAACAATAAGAAAATTTTAGGCAAGGAATGGTTTACCGGATATCATCGGTAGCATAGATACACTCACATCCGCATAAAGGCT